GTTGTTGATTCTTTTTGATAGTTCCTGTGCTACTGAGGTTGTGTTCATAAAGTTTTTTCCTATGCCAATGTCTTCAAGAGTTCTATCTAACTTATCTTCCAGCAAGTTTAGTGTTTCTGTCTTAATATTTAGATATTTAATCCACTTTGACCTTAGTTTAGTGTATGGTGATAGGTATGGGTCTAGTTTTAATCTCTGACAGGTTGAAATCCAGTTTTTCCAACACCATTTATTAAACAGGCTCTCTTTCCTCTAATGATGGTGGTTGGCTCCTTTGTCAAAGATGAGGTGGCTGAGTATGTCTGGAGTTGCTTCTGTATCTTCTAATCTATTCCAGATCCTCAGGTCTGTTCTTTTGCCAGTACCATGAACTTGCCCATGTATAGTTTGAGAGTTGAGAAGAGAGAGAGGGAGAGGGAAGAAGGTAGAGAGGGAGAGAGGGAGAGAGAGAGGGAAATACAGAAAAAAGTAACTCAGAGGTAGAAAAATAAATAATCTAATTAAGTAATAGATGCAGTTCTTGAATGGACATCTCTGCAAAGAATACATAAAAATGACCAGCATGTATGTGAAATATCCTCAATATCACCTAGGGATATGCAGATCAAAAAGCACACTGAAATATCAGTTTACCCCTGTTAGGACAGCTATTGTCAAAAATTACCAGATATTGGCAACAATATGAAGAAAGGGAACAAGCCTTGCTTGTTACTGGATGAAATGTAGATTGGCACAGTTACTGTGGAAAACAATATTGAGTGGCCTCAAAAATTTAAACATAGAACTACTGTATGATTTGACAATTCCATTTCAGGGTATATATTCAAAAGAATTTAAGTCAGGATCTAAAATAGATATTGGTACTTCCATGTTCTTTGCAGGATTATTCACAATAAAGAAAATAGAAAACAAATGTCATCAATAGATAGATAGATAAATAAATCATGGTAGGCATACAGTGGAATATTTTCCTGCCTTTAAAAAGAATGAAATCCTGGGGTAGGGATTTAGCTCAGTGGTTCCGCCACCTGCCTTGCAAGCACAAGGACCGGAGTACAATCCCTGGTACCAAAGAAAAGAAAAAAGAGAGAATGAAATCCTACTCCATGTGGTAATATGAATGGACCCGGAGAATATTATGCTAAGTGAAATAAGCCAGTCTGGAAAGAACAAACACAGCAAGAATTCATTTAGATGAAATATCTTAAATAGACTCACAATCAGGACAGAAAAATGGTTACTTTTTTATAAATATTTATTTTAAATTTATTTTTAAGTTATTCAGAAAAAAATTCTACACACCAAGATTCCAGCGTGTAATATTTTAATATATTATTTAATCTTTAAATCAGATTAAACAAATTTATTTCATTAAAATTATCATTTCTTTATGGTGAAGACATTCAAAATCCTTTCTTCTAATCTTTTGAAATGTACAGTACATTGTTGGCATCTATAGTCACCGTACTGTGCAATGACACAAGACCTTTCTGCTGTCTAACTGTAACTTAGTGCTTATTGTTTATCCCCCTTCCCATACTTCTATGACCTCTGGTAACCACCGTTCTCCTGTCAACTTCTACGAGATCGGCTTTCTAGATTCCATGTATGAGTGAGTTCATGCAATACTCATGTTTCTGTACCTGGCTTATTTCACTCTACCCATGTTGCCACATGGGACTTCATTACTTCCTGTGGTTGTGAGTGTCTGTGTATACATACCACATCTTCTTTATCCAGTCTTCAGTTTATCATTTGTTTCCATTTCTTGGCTATTGTGAATTGTGCTAAAATGAACACAGAAGAGCATGTATTTCTTTGACATACTACTTTCATAATAATTTGTTTAAAATGGAAAAATTACAGAGTATTTTGGGGATTAAAGAAGAGAGAATATAGACATTGGTTAGTACAGTGATTAAGAATTATTATTGTCATTTTCACCATTGGTTAGCGAACTAATAAATTATTTCAAAAGTAAAAATGCACTCATAACATTAAATTTTGAGTAATTTAAATAGATATTGATACTATAGACATTTGAAATTTTGGAATACTTTATCCCACAAGTAAAAAATAACTTTTATAAAGATAAAACTTATGGTTTTTTTCATAGTTATAATAATGATGTGCTCAGCTTTTTCTGTAATGTGTGGAATTATTTTTGTTGCCCTGAATGAACCTAGATGTCTCTGTATGTATGTATGTATGTATGTATGTATGTATGTATGTATGTATGTGTGTGTTATGTTTATCTTATCCTTTCTGTACTTTTTATCCATTATTTCTGTTACTTCTAGCCTTTTTGAATTTTATATTGATATGGAGTAAACTATTAAAAACCCTTTTAAAAAGCTGTAGCCCTTTATTTCACCTTTTATTTCTTTTTGTGATTTTAGCAGCCATGGAAACCCATTAGCTAAAAATATTAATTCATTAGGAGTAGCAAATGGTGTACTTTATTTAGTCATTCTTCTTCATTAATTAAATAGAATATTTCAATAAGAGAAATGTCCTTCATTAACTATTTTGATAAGCAATAATAGTTCCTATAGAAAAAGCAACATACATGTTTTATTCTTCTCACTTTGTTTACCAGTTTTAAAAGTAATGCTTTTCTAGCATTCTGCGAAGCTACCACAAGGTATTTACTAACATTTGGAATGCATGAATTTAAGCACATTTTAAGTGTTTCAAACTTTTAGTCATTACCCTCAAGTATGATCAAATATTAATTTTTTTTCTAGTGCAAACTTATTAAAATGTATTCCCAGATTCTTTTGGCCTTAGTAGACATTGTTATCCCTATTTTTCTTTTTTTTGTACATCCATTTATTGGTACATTTCAGGTGTATAATATAATGGCATTCATCATTGGAGATATGCACCCTTACATACTCTCTTGGTTCTTATTTTTTCTCCCCTCCCCTGCCCTCCCTTCAACCCTTCCATCCCTCCCTATTTACAAAGACTTTGTTTCCTTTTTTTCATTTTCTCATATTAATTCCATTCCCTTCTTTCCTAATATTAGCTCTATAAAAGACCACCAATGAATTTGACTGATAAAATATAAAAATAAAAATAGATGGAACCTGAATCTGATCAAGTCACTGGCTATATCTAATGATTTAAAGGAAATACAGTAAATGAGGAAGCATGTTTAGTGGTATCTCATGATCAACTAATAAAACTTAGAATGTTATAAAACAGTCCAGTTTTTCTTTTTTCCAAATAAATAAATTTTAAATGTTGAAAAAGAAATTTTGTTTTTTAAGGAAAATGCCTATTAAAACAATGAGACATTGTGTGACACACCTGTTAGAATGAGTTTAAAATGCTAGACAATAGTCAGGCCCGATATGTGGAAAAAATGCTCGGGAATATAACATTTCATAACCATTCTTAATCCATTTTGACAGAAAGTTTTAAAATGAAGTATTTTGCATGTAATTCAGTAATCGTACTCCTAATTATTTGCCCTGGAGTAATTAAAGTATAAGTTCATGTAAAAATCTATACATGCAAGTTTACAGTGGCTTTATGTACAATGGGTGATTGAAAAAATGAATGAATGTTTAAATTTAAAGAAATTACAGTAAAAGATGCATTGTCATTAATGTCTCTTAAAATATCCCCTCTACTGCTTTGAACATGCTTATCCCATCCTTCTTGCCATTTTCTGGAAGTCGTCTTTCATGAGTGTCTTTGGAGGAATGATAGAAGATACAGTAAATGCTACTGCCAAGTGCCATCCATTAGAAAGGCACTTTTATGAAAACATTTCCTTGTGTTCGCATCCACCTTATTCATTAGATCTGGTACTGTGCAACATCTAGCTTTTCCCCAAAGTCAAAAGGACCATGGAATGGAAGCATTTTAAATTGATTCCAGACATCCAAACAATCATGAGAGCACAACTGTGACACTCACAAGAGAGGACTTCTGGAACTGATTCCAGAAGTGGTAAGAATGATGGCATAAGTGTGCCCAAATGAGGAAAAATATTTTTGAGGGCAATTAATGGCAATGTGTCATTTACTGTATTTTAAAAAATTTAAACACACGTTAAGTGGCCCACATGTTCATCAGCTAGCAAATTACAGTAAAATAATTTTTACAACAAAAAGTAAGTGACTATTGGTACTTATGAATCAGTATAGATAGATCTCAGATGTCTTATGCTAAATGAAAGAAACCAAGCTCAAAAGAATACATGGTATATGGGTTCTTTATTTGATAGTTTGGAAAAGTCAAAGCTATAGGGGCAGGTTAGCAGTTGCCTAAAGATGGGAGGGGAAAGGGATCAGTTTAGAAGGTTACAAGGGATATTTGGAGGAATTGGAAATATAAGTGAAGTTGGGTATTTTCATAGTTTTAAATTAATAACATTAGTTTTTAAAATCTGATAAACATGAATAAGTTCTATTATTCAGTTATTTATTTCACTTAGCCTTATTAAACCTAAATGCATTTAAAATTATCACCATGTATTTTATCATGAAATAATATTGTTGTTAGATGCTTATATTTAATATATATATATAAAATTTTAAATATAACTTATTAAAGCTCATGTGATAAACAAGAGTGAGGGTAATTAATGTTAATTATTTAAATAACTTTATTATATTTTTCAGTTGAGAAATTCATGCAAATTTTATTTGTTTACTTCCAGTTGTGTTGCTTGATACAACTACTGTACTGGGAGAGCTAGGATGGAAAACATATCCATTAAATGGGGTAAGTTTAAATGTGTTTAAATTCTCATCCTTGTTAGGTTTTTAGGGACTTGTAATACATGAAAAATGGATTTTGGAGGCCTGGGATTTAGCTCAGTGGTTCCATGCCCTGCCTCGCAAGTGCAAGGAACCGAGTTTGATCCCCAGTACCGGGAAAAAAAAAGAAAGAAAGAAAAATGGAGTTTTGGTACTGTTTAATGCCAATTTTGGCATAAAACTTTAAAGTCTCATGAAAAAGATTAAAATATAATTAAATGACCAGTCAATGGGAATTATATGTAAATATGCCACTTTCTTCTAAATAATTAATAACTGTTTTGTTTTATACATAGTAATGTTAGAATTCCTCCCATACAAATTTTCCTCAGAAATAAATTTCTATATTTAATATCAAGACACTCTTCTATATAAATGTTACATATGGTAATCTTATGTGAATTTGTGCATAAATAAAATTTAGAGTTTCACAAGTAGATTGTACAAATATTAACAATTTGATTTTTAAGATAATGTGACCCTATTAAAACAATATTATTTTAATTTGGCAAAAAGATAATTTGTCATTAGGTTTTTGTTCACTGGAAATAGTTGCTTTTGGAGGCTTATGGGAATGTATAATTTTTATATTACAGTTTTCCAAGCAATGACATGTGACCAATGGTTGTACTTAAATTTTTATATATTTTATCTTTTCGGCATTGTTTTTATAATCTACTTCTTTTTACATCAAGCTGAAATGAAAGGGTTGTTTGTGAAGATTCTTACCTAAATATGTTTTTCTATTTAAACAGTATTCAAGAATAAAGACAGATATTTTCTTCTGTACCTGGTTTAACATTTTTTCTTAGAAATAGTATATTCTCATTTTTTTGATGTTTACATTGATTCTTGTATTATAACTTCAAATTTAAATTTGGAAATTAGAATCAGATGTTTCTGTTTTTTAAAAAATCATCTAAAATTTCTGTTTGAATTTAGTATTTTAGTATTACATCAAAAGCTATTCATTAAATGTGTATTTTTAATTAAAAATCTTATGAAGAGTTTAATCTTCCTCTCTTCAACATCTTATTTGCTTTAGATTCATTTATTTTATATTCTGTGATTTTATTATTTTTAATTTTCTTTTTTCTAATAGATCTCTAAGCTATCTGAGAAATATCCTTTTAAAATAAAATTGTGATTTTATCTTCATCCTCTCATTTCTATGAAAATTAATAAACATCAGTATTAAGTATGTTCAGTAAGTCACGTTTATCATTAAGAAATGAGTGCATCTTTAAAGTAGTATACCCTTTCAATATCTATATGTCCATATATAAGTATATATGTATATATATTCTTAGTAAACCAAACAATTTGTAAGCACTTAACCAATAGGTAGTTTGGAGGTTCTTTTTTCATTTTCTGAAAAAAAAGGAGAAAAACTGTTCCTACTGGCCTCATGTAGTCATTGCCAAAAACTATTTGTGAAAAAAAAATATTATGCCCTGCTCTCTTGATTATATTCAGCTTTATCAGACTTCATTTCACAGAAAATGGGTAGCCAGGAAATGCTGAGACTTACAGTCACAGATGAAATTGCAGCTATTGGTCTTGTTTTGATTTTTGTCTTAAATGGTATAAAATGGAAAATTTTCAACTACTTTTGATGGGTTATGGAAAGAGAGGGCAGAATTGTTTGAAGAAGTATCACTTACGCCACACTTTTCTATTTGACAGACACTGTACCTAAGCATTTCACATTTTAGTTTTGCAATGGTTCATTGAAGTATGTCTTACCTCTGTTTCTCAGGTGGAGAATCCTAGTGATAAAAGGAGTAAAGAACATACAATACCAACTGGTATTTTGTATGGATTCTCATGCTGACTTAGATAATTCTGACTCTAAGACTTGTGTTGAAGCACTTTCTACTTTTGTATTATACTTGACTAATTCAGATTTTTTCCCCTTGATAAATACATTGGTAGTCTAAAATACACATTTTGGGCAATGTATATTAAGATTGTCAAGACAAAAAAAGAAAGAGGGGAAAGAGAAGACTTCATTAAAAAAATAAATGAGAGAATAAAGAAAAACACAAAATCTCATTGAGTATTTATCACATACTAGACTTTGCTTCAAAGATTTTACTGATATTAGTCCAGTACATCAAGTATAACATTTTCATTTATAGATGTAAAAATTGAGACTCAGATACATTGAATAATTTTCACAAAGTTACAGAGCTAGGAAGTAGCCAAACATGCCCTAATCTCAAACACATGGATGGTTATTTCACAGTAAGTTGCTTTTTAATTTTTCCAAGATTCTACTCTGAAAGTTGATGACCTATGGAATTAGATTATGGAGGGGAAACTAACACATGGATTCAGACATTTAAAAAGTAAATTAAATATATAATTAAATTGAAATATTACTGATACCATGATCTACATTACTTTTAGATTATCCCCAAATACTGTGTATGAAAATTGTTAACAATAGGAATTTTTGAACATGGGAACACATAGACTTTCTTTATAATACATGTGGATGAAGCTATATAACCCAATCCTAACCCTAAATAGAAGGGAATTGAGAGAAACAGTATTTAAATTATTTCTTGCAATGAAGAGGATTTGCTATTTGTAACAACGGAATTTTACTTAATGCTATTTATAGGCTAAAGCAAGTAAGAAATTAATCACTAAAGAGAAAGAACTGTGAAAAGAAACTACTAAAATCAAAAAATGAAAATAATCTAGACATTTATATAGGTTAAATAACTTAAATACAACAATGTAGCATTTTCACATCCATTAAGTATAAGCATATGCTTTGTCTTTTCTGTTCACTGTGAGTAACTAATTACTAGCTAATCCTAAATCTTAACTGGGAAACTGAAGGACTAATTTCAGTTTTGTAAAACTCTTGGAAATGAGAGAACGATTTTGATGCTAATGAAAATAAACCAAAACGCGCACACACACACACACACACACCACACACATACACACACACTTTATGCAGTAACATTGTATAGAATAAGAAATTGAAGAATATATATACTAAATTGATTCTTATGTTCTGAAAATAAGTGTAGAATTATACGAATGTTTTAGAAATGTTAACTCTCATGTTTATTCGTTTCTTTTTGATGTTTTGTACTTATTCAGTTTAGTTTCAGCCATTGTAGAGCACTATAGATGAAAGGGTAAAATACAGTTGTAGTAACATAACCTGTAGTTAAATATACTACTTAAAATTCTTAATAGGTATTACAGATTGGGCCCCACTTTATGTCACACAACAATGAGTATATCATATTGGAGTATCATGGATTAATATTAACTCTGACTAGTAATAAGCAACTTCTCTGAACCAGAAAAATAAAAGGCTTTTTACAATATATATAGGAATTTCATAATTAAAACCGTATTTTGTTTTCTTTGAGATTCAGTCATTATGTTTGATAACTTCTTAAAATTTAATAGCTATGTGGTTTTAAAATTTTTTGATACCTTAATTAAAAAGATAAGCAGCTTTTTTGAATAGCCACATAGTGTTTATTAGGGGTAATTATACTTGAATAAAATGTGATAATTACTCTATATCATTTCATAAAACTTTTATCAGATACTGTTTAATTCATACCTGTGATTGCATATAATACTGTGCTTATTGTTGACAGAACTTGATTTTAAGCACTCCATCAGTTCATCTAAAATAATAATGTCATCATTTATTTTATATAAATAACATTTTAATGAGAAAATATTTTCTTTGCTGTTTTTCACTTTTGGTTACCATATACATGGTAGATCTGTTTTTTTAAATATTCAAAACTAATCAAGTATTCAAAATTAAATTTTATTTTTAACAGTAGATTATGTTGAAAATTAATAATATTTAAGGAAAAAAACAGTATCATATAGACCAGTGGTGGTGAATCTATGACACATGTGTCACAGCCAGCTGCTTGTTATCACTGAAAGCTCCAAAAGACACACCATCACTGATATAGACAATTCCAAGTTCTTCTGCCAACTTGAGCAGTAAACTGGGACATGCCTGTACCAGACCTCTTAATACCCAGATGGATGAGCAGAGTGAAATGAATCACAGAGAACCAATTCCCTAGGTACCCTTCTTGAGCAGGGGTCCAGGGGCTCTCTTAAATGAAAAGTTTATGCTTTTGTACCTTTGGACCTGGAACTGGTTGGGTCTTGCTGATTCCTGATATGTTTTGAAGGTATTTTTCTTCTTGTCCAGGTTCAAAGTACTTAGTGTTTTTTAATGGTGTTAATCTCTTCAACAAGCACACTTCCTTTGGCCTCAGTTTACACTCATTTCTTTTCTGGCCAAGATGTGCATTTTTCAGACTTTTTGCTCTGGTTTTTGTTCCTGATGCTTACTGTACATCTGGCTAAAAGAATCCAGCAGTGTAGCACCCATGCCACAGCCTGAATGTTGAGTTACTTTGAAATTTTCTCCACCACATCAATTAGCTCACCACCCTCAATCATAGGCTCTCTCAGTCTCCAGACATGAACAAAAAGTAGACAAGTTCTTTGTCAGAATATAACATTCCCGGTCTCTATTTCCCAATAGAATCTGCACTTCTGTCTAAAATCTCAAGAGGGAAGCCTTTACTGTGCATTCCAGAGCATTCTGCTCTGCTGAATCAATCAGAATTGTTCATAAAGGTCTGCTTACAGCATTCCTGGGTTTCTACAGCCTGTATCTCCAAACTATTCCAAAATTTTCCTGCAAGCCAATGTCAACAGCATGTGAACCACATTGTCAGTTATAATCACAGCAATGACTCCACTCTCTGGTAGAAATTATCTATATTGTTCCTACTTAATTTCTTGTTGCTGAGCCACAATACCCAATATCCACAAATTAAAGGAGTGGTTGATTTTAGCTCACAGTCTGTAGAGGTTTCAATCCATAGTCATGTGGCTCCAAGGCAGGGCAGCATGTCAGAGGAGCATGGCAAAGGAAAAACAGCTTGT